TGGAACTAATTTATATAAAATATCATTAATAATTTCGTAATCTTGATTACTAGATAGATTTTTCTTTGTCTCTTGAATTGCACGATCTTTTAATTGTTCTTCTTTAATCTTCCTCATACTGAAACCGGTACATGATGAATAAACTTCTGCTGAAGCATTTGCATTTGATGATGACGATACCGTTGATTTCTCATTCGTATTCGATGATGGTGATGCCGTTGAAGCCATATTGGCAAATGATGACGAAGACGAATTTTTTTCTTGTAGTTGTCTGACCCTTAGTGGAGTATTATAAACACTTGTTAATTTTACCCCATTATCTTGTTGGTTATTATTAGCTCGAGCTGCTGAACGTGTAATCACATTAACCGATGCTGTTGGTTGAATACCTGAGTCATTGTCATATAATTCATCTGTGTACGGGAATAAATAACCTTCATGTTGTTTTTTTATACTAATGTCATTAGAAAAACTTTGATTACTTTGTAGTGGATAACGGGAAAGTAAATCTGCATCACAATGACATTTCTCCTTTTTATATTTAATTTCGGTAATGTTGTATTCGAATAATATTTCAATTGCCCATCGATCGAGACGTTCACTACGTGATCTTTTTTTATGAAATTGACATAGTGGACAATGATCAGTTTCAATTCTAAAATCTTTGCCAAGTAAATATGGACGTAATTTTGTTCTAGCCCAGACAATGGCCAATGCTTCTAATTTTGTCGTAGAATATCTTAATTCAGTATTTGTTAAAACCCGTGACAAGTAATAAATAATTTTTATTCGTCCGTCTTCAGCTATTTGTTTTAACACCGCACCGAGTCCAACTCTTGACGCATCAGTAGAAAGAACATAAGATAATTTTGGACCGGGAAATTCAAGTACTAAATCCGGTCCAGTAATAATCTGTTTCAATTGTTGGACAGCTTGTCGTTGTTCTTCATCCCATTTAAATTTATGTTTGTTGTCCTTGGTCAAATTAGTTACACGATGAATAGGAGCCGCAATCTTTGAAAATTTTTTATAAACTTCCGATAGAATCCGAGTCCACCTATAAATTCATTAGCTTGTTTCAATGTTGGATGATCAGGTATTGGTAATTCTCGAATTGCTTTAATATTATCATAAAGTGGTGCAATTCCATATTCATTAATTGAATGTCCCAGATAATCAATTTTTGTTCTCATAATTGAACATTTACTAGGATTTAATTGAAATCGATGTTTATCGAGGATACTAAGAATTTCATCCAAATGTTTCATATGATCCTTAAATGTCTTACTGAAGATTATTATATCGTCAAGATATACTAAACAACAATGTTCACGACCATTGACGACGAGGTTATACATGATCCGCTGGAAACTTGGCGGTGCATTGGTTAAACCCATTGGGAGTACATTAAATTCCCATAAGCCAGTAGTCGTTATAAAAGCCGTTTTGGGTTTGTCAATCTCACTAATAGGTACTTGGAAGTAACCGGAACGTAAATCCAGTTTCGAAAAGCAACAGTTTCCAGCTAATTGCTGTAGAGTTGATTCAATTGTTGGAATTGGATACGAATCTTTCGTTGTGATGCCATTTAACTTACGATAATCTACCACAAATCTATAATCGTCATCCTTTTTTTTGATCAATAGCACTGGTGATGACCATGGTGAAGACGATAGTCGGATTTGATTTGACTTCTCCAGTGGATCGATTATTTTCTTTAACGCTTGTTGTTGTTGTAAAGACCTGCGATAAGGAACAGAATTGATTGGTGGATGATCGCCTGTTGGTGTTGTATGATGAATTGGTGTAAGTGCTATTGTTGGTGAAGAAGTATCGAAAATTTTTTTATATTTTCCTATAATATTTCTTGTTTCCGTTTTTTCCTGTAAATTTACAATATGTTCCACTACTTGGTCGAGAGTTATTTTAATATCGTTAGCAATGGATGACGTAACTTGTGTTGAATTTTTGATTGTGTTAACATATGGTGGTATCATATGCGCATGTTGGATTGCTTTAGAATTATAATTTTCATAATGTTGATAACTACGATTATCATCACAACTTTCATCAGTCAATATAATAGGAAATGCTTGATTTGCGAATTTAATGTCATTATTATTTTTTAATTCTATGTCGTTTTTATTAACTATTTGATCATCCCGTGTTGGAAAGGATATAAATCCCAAAATCGTATCACTGGTCAAATATAGAGGATAATCATTTATATTAATAATAATTAAATTTGTACAATAATCTTGTATTTGAATAATTTCTTGTGAAAATAACACTTTTGATGCTTGTCATATAGTGGTAAAAGCTTCAACCATTTCTTATGTATGAGGTGGAATGGTTATTGAATGTCGCAGTTTAACAGGAATTCGACGATTACTAGCAGATGTTCGAAGTGGAACTGATGCTTTATTTCCTAAGATTTCAATTTTATTTGTAAAACCGTTTATTGTTACTTGGTAATGTCTAATCCAATCTTCACCTAAAATTACATCACAGCATAATGTTTTTGTAATTGCTGCCGTTACATATGTTTTAATATGCTGAATTTTTATTTCTAATGTAACATATCCAATGATAGAAATTGATGTTTTATTGGCCAAAAAAAATTGTTGTTGTACCGGATAAAATCGAGAATGACGTATTTTTGAAAGTGATGATTGTTGAATGATGCTATTGGTTGCACCTGTGTCAACAAGTACTTTCATAAAATGATTATTAACAGGTACATAAATAAAGCGTAACGGTGATGGATATTGGATGGAATTGACGGAGGCACCACCATCTAGTGACTCCCTTGTTAAAAATGTTGTTGATTATATTGAGAAGAGTTGATATCCGGACAATCCTTTCGTAGGTGGCCCGGTTTGTTACATTGATAACATATTAGGTAATTATTTGCTTGTTGTTGTTGTGCAGATGTCTGAGCATGTGAATTTTTATTATAATAATCAGGTGATTCATAATATGTTGAATGATTATTTTGTTGATGATTGTAATAATTACGATCTGGACGATTTAATAATTGTTGTTGTTGTTGACCGAAACCTGAAGTTCTGGATGATGACGAAGTAACTACCCCTCGATAATTATATGGAGCGTTTGATGATGATCTAAGTGAAGAAAATGATTGGAACTTTGTTACTTTTTCTTTTTCTATTTGTTCGTGTTGTTGCATTATGGTAAGAAAATCTTGTGATGATGATATTGATAATGCATAATGCTGGAATTGTGGACGAAGACCTCGTCGAAGGTACTGAAGTTTGTCTTCTTCACTGATTTTATTATCCAATTTAAGACAAAGACGATTGATGTCTTGTACGAATTTGCCAACTGGTTCTGTTTCGCCTTGTTTATGTGCTAGTAATTGAGCTAAGTAGTCAATGTTGGTTGGTTGAATTGGTGGTGGAAAAGCATATAAGAAAGCTTCTTTGAAAGAAGACCAATTATCAATTTCATCTTGATGATAAAACCATTCTTGAGCAGGACCACTTAATTTTATTGTTGCCAATTCATATATTTGCTGTTCATTTAATTTAAGTGATTTACCAATTTGTTGTAAATTTTTTAACCAATTTAAGGAGTTTTCAGCGCCAGAAAAGTTTGAAAAAAGTTTAACCTTTTCATTCCTAGCTGATTGTATCACTTGTAGAGGTGATGTCGATCGACATGATGATTCCAAATAATGATTTTCCATAATGTTCGACTTCGTTGTATTATCATGAATTTCGTCTGAATCTTTCTCTGCCAGTACCTCGTCCGTTAATGTATTACGAACATCTGTGGAGATTGCATCAGTAGTGGGAACTTTTGCATGCGGTGGATTATAAGTGAGTAAAAAGTGTTAAATAAAACATTGCATATCAGGCATTTTTAGACGATTAAGACGATACCATAATAAAGCATCATCAGTTAATCTTCTTGCAGCTATATCACGTTGTTCACTTGGTGTTAATTCTTGTTGTTCAATAACTTCAAAAATATGATCTAGCCATTTTCCTGCATCTTCACCTTTTTTTCCTGAAAATGTTACAAAGTTATCCACAATGTTTTGTTGAAGATGTATTGTTGATGATTCAATTGCATTTTTCATCATATGTTGACATGTGTCACCTGTTGTTTGAGTCGAAGAATATTGATTAGCACGCGATGGTATTCGTGCTAGTTTTTTGTTGATTATTGTCAATGGACTGTATTGAATCATTTGATGGTTCAATTAAGAAATGTTGATCATCATTATTAGTTGAAGTTTTTTGATCGTGGTGTAGTGCATTAGCAGAAGTAATTGATAAATGTTCAGTATCGAGCATGGTTTTTTCCGAAGTATGATCGATTGTTGAATATATGCAGGTTTTATTATTTAATAAATGATCACGATATAGATGTATGTTTCAAATTGCGAGTTGTTCTAGTCTCTGACATTCAATGTGTATTAAGTTTCTTAGTGAATTTGTATCCGGTATTTCTTGTTGTGATATTGACTTGACAACAAGCTGGTCAGGCCCCCAGTTACATATATATAATTTTTTGAATGAATGAATATCGGATCCGTTTATTGAAGAAAACAGCAAGTATATATACATAGGAGAAAGACAATAGACGCACTAGAGAAAAAGTTAAGAAGCTTCGTCCGTCTGTTTAGAAAATGAACAATAGAAAGAAAAAGACAATGGTTCTTCTTACTCAACAAAGACGTCAGTTAGGAAAAGTGAGTAAGACGAGAAAGAGCATACATACAACAGATAAATAGAAAAAGAAAAGAACAAGAACATATGTATAATAGTTGGACCGAAGCGAAGAGAAGTGAAGCACTATGTAACACACTCGTCTATAAACGATATATTTGAGAAAGATAATATGGAAAGCTACGCAATTTTTATTTATACAATAGGTAGCTGTTGGATCCATGTGAAATAGATATAACACTTGTTCATCATAGAGCGTCGTTGAAAAGGAGAGGGAAATAGTGTGTCGATTATTTCGGTAAGCTTGATTACTCATCGAATGACACGTGTCTGGGCTTAGACAAACAGTTATAATTAGTATTGATGATTAGTACTGGATGGAGAGAAAGAGTGAGATAGCGTCCCAAATAGAACGTGTATATGTAATGTTGGTAAACAATGTAATATGTGTTCTCTTAGAACGAATTAGCCATTAAGATAAAAAAGCAAGATGTAAATAGTAAGAATAAAAAAGAAGGATGGAAAATTAAAATATCGAAGGTCTATCGATGCTATGGGCATCAGCTTTTATTCACTTCTACCACAACTGGGTGTGGGTGTGTTAGTAGAATGATTTTAAGTAAAATCATTTCAATAGCTAGCAAGACCGGTTTCGATAAGTGCTAAAATTATACTTATCAATTGCTTTATGATTATATGATGTTATAAATGTATATAAGTCTTCTACTGTGAAAAACTACAGTGAGAAGTTTTTTAGGAAAACTTCTAAGCTAGTAATAATCACAAAAATATATTATCGGGTAAAATGTATTAGAAAACAAGCACCCAATAATTTTTGAAGAGATTCTCAAATAAATGAGTGTGATTATATGTTAATAGATTATTAGTAATCAAAAGGAATGAATGAACTGTGTTTTTTTAGAAAATGAGCCTGTTTTTAGAAAAGCCTGTTTTTTTGCATCTGTTAGATGGCTGTTTATTCTCTTTTTTTTTATCAGTGTTGTTTCATTTTCTATGCTTATTCAAGAAAGTTAGTGTATTACGTGATGTAAACTAGGGGGGGGGGGAATAGAGAATTTTTCATTTAATGGAAAGTATATGAGGTTCTAGTTCTAAAATGTGGTATGTCCACATGTTTACAGATAGATTTTTTTGTATATGTAGCACATAGAAAATAATGGAAGCCATATTGAGTAGAAATGAAAAAAATAATACGGTATAAATTACTGTGATGAATAGATGCGAGAAGTTATCCTTTTGATTACTCATCGAAATATATTGTTGTTATGTGAGGCAAGCGGTTTATTGAATATTTTGTGTATGAATGAAAGTCCGATGTAGTATTATTTGGAGAAATTCTTGATTAGGTATGTGTCGTTTTCTAAGGTTTTGCCATTTTACGCTAGTTCTACGTAGAAAGTTTTTGATCAATTACATCCCTGTAGGTCTAAATTGATGGCGACTATTCACGCCAACTTGCCTATAAGAACCGAAGATCACTCCACTTAACAAAGATCTTATTGAAGTAGAATAATATACCACAAGTTATTTGAAACCGGCGTCATGCATATGATAAGTGTGTGTGTGTTTGTTTTTCCGGAAGAGTGATTTGCAACTTGAAACGATGTGTTTCGTTTGTTGCTCACATTGTCCTCAAGTATGTTCGAAGGCAGAATACTACATGCGCATAACTTGAATTTTTAATTAAATTTTCCTTAACATTGTAATGACTGGTTTGAGAGACAATAGACAAACAACAAAATTATATCAAAGGTAGAGAAACTTACAACAACAAAAAACGTATACAACTCGTATTAACTGTTAAAAACACTCAACACTGCAAATAGGTCAATTCTAATGAAAAAAAAGTTTTCAATGACAAAACAAAAACGACCATTAAATGAACAGTAACAAAATACTTGAAAGGCAATGAGAAAAATGGGTGTTGGTGTGGTTGTGAGTGTGGGTGGGGTGTGAATGTGGGTGTTAGTATTACTAGAAAGCACACCCACACCCACACCCACACCTACACCCTCATACAAAAAGAGATTATCTAGGGTGTCCGGACAGTCACTAAATATAGAAAAATTTGAATAGCTTCATTAAGGCTATACCAAACGAGCTCATTTTTTTGCCAAGGATAGAGGCATGTTCAAACTTCAAATCCATACGGACAAGGATATTGAGAATTTTTGTTAAGTATCACTATTGAACTGAACAAGAAAATTTTACTGTTTCACAGACAGGAAAAAACCAATATAGTTAACAAAGGTTGTCACTAACCTTGTCAGTATGGATTTGGAGTGTGAATATGCCTCTATTCTTGGTAAAAATATCAGGTGGTTTGCTCGAGCCGTAATGGAGATATTCCATTTTCTTTTCAATAAAGTGTCTTTGCACTATTCTGTATATTGTTCTTTTCTTACCTGTGAAACAGTAAAATCTTCTTGTCAAGCTCAATAGCGATACTTAACAAAGATTCTCACTACTCTAGTCCGTATGGATTTGGAGTAAGTGTGGGTGGGTGTGGGTGTGGGTTATTCTCTTAATCACCCACACCCTGTCAACACGATAGAAACGACGTGAACACTTTCTAGTTCTTAAGACATGGAATCAGTCAAACTTACTCGTGTTTATATTAACTTGTTCAGTTTTTGTTCTCGTTTTATCGGCAGTTTTTCTTGAGGGTGTGGGTGCGTGTGGGGTGTATAGAGTATGGGTGTGGGTGATGGGTGTGTGTGGGTGAGTGCGTGGGGTGTGGGTGCGTGGCTCTTCATTTTTTCAGACACACCCACGCCCACACCCACACCCCACACCCAAATCCTGTTCTTTTTATTTTCATATTATGATTTTATTGAAATTTCTTATAGTCAAATGAACTATATATTTTAATTTTCTTTGTCGAATTTTTTTTTTATTGAAATGATTTATATAAGACTAATATTTACAGAGAAGGAAAATATGAATAAAAGTTTTGTGTATCAACAAATGTTTGATATGTAACTAGAGATTTTATTTTCGAACAATTGAGACGTGTCCCATCATTAGTAAAATTATTTGTTACATTTACTAATATTCTGTAACTAACTATGAGATTTGTCAAACAAGGTAGACGAGTGTTTTTATCATAAAGAAATTGTAAGACATAGTCAGGATGTACATTCATAATATCGAGTTCAAATAGATGATTAAACGTAATTAATGTAGATGAATGATCTTGTTTATTTTTTTTTGGTATATCATTTAATATGATTAATCTTTGAAGAAAAGGAAAGTCTTGAGAAATTATTTTGAATAATTTATGTTCAAATGGACGATTATCATGCATTAATAACAATCGAACTTTTTCGAATCTTCCACCTTTAAAACAGCTACCCATAAATAAGAATTCGTTGAATTGATACGGAAGAGAATAAACATGACAATTGCCTCTATTATTTATTAATTTATCATCGGAACATGTGTCAATTGATTGAATTCCTCTTTTAATAAAACTATTTCGAATATCTGAATTTGATGGAAGATCAATTTTTTTTTTACTATAATCGGTCATAATGTGAGTATGTATATTAAAGATAAATTTGTTTAGTTGTGGCATATAGTTAAGAACTTCATTGTATAATTGATTACCATCAATATAACTTGATTTAGTTCGTGTTACTGAAAGGAATAACGTTAGTTCTTCAAGATTTAACATTCGTTGGAGTAATGGAACAACTTGTTTATCATAATCAGATACATACTGATCTGTTGATAATGAAAAACATTTTAATTTAAAAAGTTTTTTCTAAAAAGAATAGTACAATCAATAGTTTTCAATAATCACACAAATACCTACTGTATTATCTATCATCGATGATGAACGATCTATTTTATAGATGCGAATGATCAACGTTGATAAAGATTGAAGACATCCATTAAGAAGATACAGACAATCATCAAAACTATTGACATTTATTATCAATTTAGTCAGAGTTGAAGATAGAGAATTTCTATGTGAACTATTTAAAGATGAAATTGTTAGATATTCTCTTGAAGAATTTTGAAAAAACGTCAAATCATTTAAACATCTACTGTATATTAATATGAATTCAAATATATTTGGTTCATTTTCATTAGATGTTTCTGTTTTCTCAATATTAATATTAACAGTGATATGTGTTATTTGATTAGTAAGAAGACATAACATTGTTTTATCTTAAATATAAAAACAAACAAAGTATCAATAATTAATCAAATCAAATCGAATTGATAATACAGACCTGTTAAATGTTGGAAGAGTATTTTTGGTTGAAAATTGATAAATGATATCGAATGAAGTCGAGGATAATGAATGATACCAAGAACACGTTCTATAGAAAATGGTTCGAAAGTAATTTTACTTACTTTCTTATTAATTCGGGGTAAAGTTTTTTCACAAATTCTATCGATAATATGAGTATGCACTGAAGAATTATAATTATTGGATGATTCGATCGAAAAATCGAGATGATGTATATAGAGAGAATCGAGTGTTAATCGATCAAATCGTTGATTTACACCTACTAATGAATATAGCATGTCGATCATATACAGTTTATTGAAAATAAACTGTAATATTTCATCTGGTAGATCAACTGTATTAATATCGTTCTTATTTAAAATATTCATGTCTAATGATTATTGTTGACTTCAGTCATCTCTCTTCTTCTTTCAATCTATATATACAATATGTTATTTTTCTTGTTGCCGTCCGTGAGAATAATATTCATATAGTCATGTGATATGATGATGAATGCCCGATGCTATTTTTCTTTCTGCCTAAAATTGCTTTCATTGATAAGGAGAAAAAATTTGCATCATCACTTATGTGATAATATAATTGCATTTATCATCTATCAAATACATTTTAACAGATAATTTGTTGTTTAGATTAAGTGTAAATATGATACTTACAAATTTGCAAGTATGTTTCGAACTTATTTTTTATTAAATAAAAGTATTGAAAGAATGTGTTTAAACCTTAGAAATATAATAATAGTATAAAATAACCATGTATAAACTATATTCATCTAAAGATTCGATGTATGTGTTATTTTTCCTTTTATTTATGTATTTTCTTCCATTCCATGGTCTACTGAGTTAATAGTTAAAATATTTAAAATTAAGATATTAAATTTTCCTGAACATCAATGTCATTATCAAATTTTTCATAGTAATTTGATGCAAAAACAATTGTTACTAATTGACGTTTGACAAAAAATATCTAATCATTTTCAACAATCTCAAATTATTTAATGCAATAAAAGTTCATTTCTCTTTTTATGTGAATAAAACCTGATGTCTTTGACAAATAAGATCAAGAGTATGTCGTCATGTTAAGAAAAACTTTAACAACGTGTGTTGTACTAAATGTAAACGATATACGCTATGATCATTTTCTCCACATTCTGATGTATTCTTATCTTGATCAAATGAAACAAGATCATAAAAAAATCCTCTATTAACCATATCAGTTACTCTTGCAATGTATCTTATTTGTTTAAATCAATGTAAATCTGAACTAAGATCAGCATAATTATAAAAGAATTATTTTAATAATTTGTTTTTTCAGTAAATAACCAATTAAAACAATTAATAAATGTTTTCATAATTGAACGTTGTAACATCTTCTAACTTAATTATAAAAATCATATGTATGGTTAATCGATGCCCATTGATAACTATCACATAACAAAAAAAAAAAAGAAATTTTCTGCATAGTTTATTTTATAAAAACAAAAGCATAATGATTTTTGTAAGTAACATTATTCTTTGATCAATGTAATTCCTTACATAGGCAAAAATCGGATGTAAATACAATCAAATGAGATTTTATTAACCAAGAAATAGATAATTTGCTTAAATTAAATATTCATTTGCATCAAATAGATGAAGTAAATCAGCTAATTGACTATGTCTAGTACCACAAACGTTTAAATAGAAATTTTATTTAAAATATTTGAAAAATAAATAGAAAAATTCATATTTAAAACATTGCTAAGTGGAAGGAGAACTAATTTACTTTAAAATATTTCATGTGCTTTATTTATCTATTATCAGAATGAGTAGTGAATGACATGTTTAGTTGATTTAAATCAAATACGACAAAAATTACATGAAGTCAATCGTTATTTTATTAGCTTCAGCTTTCTCAACAAAATAAAGAAAATAGAGGTTACAATAAAAAAAGAAAAAGAAAAGTGAAACATGTGTGAAGAGTTCAAATTTTTTCTTGTCAAGTTTATCATTTTTCTATATCTTGTGTACCAGTTTCTTCATAATTTTTCGTTTCTTCTTCACCATCACCTTCTGCATTTTTTGTATTTACCATTAATAAACCCGACTTAATACAACGATCAAGATGTTGATCAGCTTCTTCTTGAGTCATTTTTGATAAAACATCTTGCAATTGTTCAACATCACGTGATTTCAAACATTCCAGTAATACCTTAACAGAATCAAAAGTAAAATAAACAGTCATTGGTACTTTTTACCATTGGTAATGATTTGATAACTTCAATTGGATCTAATATACCACCTGCACCTAAACGTTTTTGTTGCTCTTTCTAAAACAAAACATGATATTTATTTATTTTTTTTTTTTTGATCGAACTAAATTGACTTTTTCATTTTGTGTATTAAAATCTTGGTTTTTCTGTTCTGCATTATCACGAATAAGATCTCGAAGTGCATTAAGTTCCTGGTTAAAGATTTGTTTATATCTTTCATTATTTTTTATTCTAAATAAAATTTTTATTTTTTATTTTCAATTAAAGAAATCAATAAATCAAACTTTTGAAAAAAAATCTTGAATCGATTCAGTTAGATTCAAGTTTGTATTATGAATTAATCGATGAATGAATATGATAATCATTGTTTGATGAGCAACACGTTCCATACCAATAAAATCCTAAAAAATAATTTTGTTCTTTCAATCGATTTCGAATAAAAAAAAAATAAATTTTACATTATCTCTTTCTAAATCAGTTGACCATGACTTTAAATAATCAATTGTTTCTTGAGATATTAACTGCATATTGTTTTCAATATATGCTTTCGAATCATCAAGATTGATTAATGCGGCAAGTTTATTGATTTTTTCATCTTGATATTTTTCATTAGATTTCTTCTAACAAACGAGTAAGATAAAATCATATGAATTACTAAGACACAGACATACTTTATCTTTTGTTTTTTTTTCTTTTTCATCATCATTATCATCTCGAATCAGTTCTAAAAAAAATTCAATTTAAATGATAATAAATTCTGTTCAACTTACGATAGTTTTCGTATTTGTATTTGTACAAGTCTTTAGCATGATCATCAACGAAGTTGGAAACCATTGTTGATTTTTCCTCATCAACCAATAATGAATTTAATGCCGTTTCCAATAATCTTCCAAATACAATCTAAATACATTGACTTTATTGGAATTTTAAAAAAACTTCAATTTATAGTTTACTTTATTATTTAAATTTTTATATTTTGAACTATTGGATGATATCATTTGCGATCTGAAAGAAAAAGAAGTTATTTTAACTTATCATTAATCCCATTATTATATCGAGCAAAATAAATTTTTGAATATAATAAAATTTCAAAAAATGATTCAGGATTTATTCAATTAGAATAAACATGCATTGTTTGTCAATGAAAATGAATTTTCTTTTAATGCTATAACTTTTGTTAATCTTGAATAATCATTTAATTGTGATTGAATTTGTTCTTTTGATAAATAAATAGTTGACGAAAGACAGACTCTTTGATAACTAATATTTGGATAATAACGAATAATTATTTGGCTGATAAGGAGCACGATTTTCTTCAACAACAATTGTTTCATTTTCATGTTTTTCTTTTTATTATTTTTTCTTTACAAATTGACTATGGAGTTGATGAATGATTTATTTGCATTGTCTAAATAAAAAATAAATTTTTATTTAAAAAGAATTTCTTTGTTTTAATCTAATTTGATTTATTTGATATTTTTCTATATGTGGTTGATCAATTGAACGAAAAGTAAAACTGAAATTATCATTTGATGTTATTTGAATGGTTGAGCATTCATTAAATGTAAAACCATTATGTTAAATATGTTATAATTGTTTAGCATTTTTTTATTTGAATCGTGAAGAATTGTTGAGTAAAATGTAACACTTATAATGATTGAAGACATTGATCAAATGATGATAAATCAGCTTCATTTTCTTTATTTAATGAATAACAAGAACTTACTATTAATCTTGTCCTAATCCTTTGTCTTTCATTTATTTGTTAAGAATACAATAATAAAGAATAAATCAAATAACCAATTCACGTTATTGAGATGCCGCTCGACATCGATTCAAATTCTTTCTCAGCTGACGAACGAATCGATCACAATTTTCGATTTGTCATTCGTTTTCAATCAAATCGTCATTTGATTAGAATTCATTCAATTGAAACACTAAAATCCATGATGGAATAATAGTTGTATTCGAACAGAGAAATTGTACGATTAGGTTTGAATAATGAAGTAGATAATTGAGAAGTTAATTAAAAAAAGATTGAAATATAAAATTTCACGTTAAAAATAAAACAAAAAGATATTTCCTTGTCTATGCTTTTATTGAAGTTCAATCAACGAAAATTCATTCCGAATGAGTTGTTGTATTTATTTCATCTATTGGAATTGTTTCTGCGATTAAAATTATTATGGTGACTAAACTTTCGAAAATGATACTGTTTGTAGTCATGGTTAGATTAGTAGTGGATATGGATGACGTTTGTCCTTTAAAAAAATCGAATTCTATCGAATAATCAGAGATAGTTTCGTTATTCATTTCCGTAATATGTTACCAACTGAAGAAATAAATTTAATACGAAATATTTATCGTTTGTAAATTCTAAAAACAAAGATTTTTCGTTCAGAAATATCAAGTTGAGACAAATCTGATTTTCGTCATGTGTCAAAGATAATTTCTAGTTGAACACTTTTCGACTGTCGATCTACTTGTTTTTCCAAAAATGAAATCAAAATGTCTTTTATTGTATTTCGACATTATAAAAATAATATTCTTATTTATATTAATATTCTCGTTTTCTATTTTTCCGGTTCCAGATTCAAACGAAGGAAAAAGAACCGCAATAGGCACACCTAATATAATTAAATCAGCCACTGCATTAGTGTAGAACTCGAAAACTCGGTTCGAATAGAAAAACTTTCTTCGAATATTCAAATATTTATTAACTATTCTAGTATTCCAGCACATTCACCTATGCATGATGATCATATTGATTCATCCAGAACATATTTTGAATTGCATATCCTTATTTAAGAGTCTCATTGATTTCCTTGGGTTTTGTGGATACTTAGAATATTAACCTATGCCGATGAATCGTAATAGATCTTGATGGATCTTATGAATCCTTGAATTCTAGAACCTACCAGGATCCGATTTTCCCCATTGGTCAGCCGCCTTCTATACTGGAGCTTTACTGGAGTGGTAGTCTAGTCGAACCATCTCTTGAACAAGCAGGCTAGTTTTCATACGGTTGCATAGGGTGTGTGGGTGTAGGTGTACCTGCGCTAGACTGAAAAAAAAAGGTTCCATACAGAACTTATTTTGCAACGAAATCGAAACCTTCTTAGAGGTTTTGTGTGGACCTAAGATGCTTTCAAAAGACATATAAAGAATCCAGGATACTTTTTTTAAAGTTTCGTTGAAGATCTGCGAAACCTTCAAAAAGGTTTTGATTTCGTTGCAAATCTCTAAACCTTTTTTAAGTTCCGTAGCACATACGAAACCATTTTTGGCACTTTTGGGTTCCGTATGGAACCTAATTTTTTTCAGTGTAGTATTCTCTTCTCTCACACTGATATGCACACACCACTGACACGCAGGCATATCCTCAGTCTTCGCATATATTGACAATATCATATGATTGGAATGTTCCTCGTCCAAAATCGATTTTGAAGGGAAAGGTTTTAATGACAACATCTATTAGTAAGAAATTAGTTGATTCACTTTATTGTTTGTATGAAGTATACAACACCATTTTCATTGTGACACAATTGGTAAAATCAATTGAAAATTTGTATGTAGTATTTTGGCTAAGCATTCTATTGTTAATCTTTTCTCTTAATCGTATTTAATATGAATCCTTGCCAATGAAAATATGTTTTTATATTCAATAAAGTTAATTTTTGCTTTTTAAATGTCATTAATAAAGAAACAAACCGACTTCTTTTACAAATTACATTGTCCCGAAACGACAATAAACAAAAATTCATATTATAGCTAGGAAAACAAGGTTCAATGTTTTTATGCATCAATGATTTCAGTTTCATTGTAAGCAGGACTTTCGGTTGAATCCATGGATAATGAATCAATTAATTAGATACTTTCACTTGCAACTCTAGAAAAAAAACGATAAAATGATAAATAACCTTAATCGAAAAATTAAAATATTTTTTTATTTAAACCTAGCTGCACCTATTTCCGATGAAAGACAGATATATCCAACAATAATTAAAGCAGTGACAGCAAATGCACCATATACTCCACTCAAAATAACATGCACTAGAAATATTTAAATGAAACAAAATAATTTATATAAAGAATATTTTATTACAATTATTCTTGTTCGACGATAGCACTTTATTTTCACACTGTAGACCATTAAAACCAGGTTTGCATCTTAAGAAAATTTTAATTGATGAAGAAATATATATATACCAAAACCTCCTATAGTGGACACCTCCATATAGTTGACACTTCGTGATCCGACGGAACAATTTTTGCTGGAATTGAACCTCTACATGGCGGATACCTCCTTATAGCGGCAGTTTTTCACTATCCCTTTTTCATAAATAACTTCTCTATAGTGGACACTGATTATGAATTCAAAGAGTATGTCGCGATGACTATCATTACTCATTCAACATAAGGACTCTTTATTGATCGGACGGTAGAATGAAAAAAAACTACGTCTTAGTGAAAAAGAAAGAACACATCCTTTGTCTTGAATAAGCGAGACGAGTATATATATATATATATATATATATAATCGCATTGTAACAGTTATATCATTCTTCTACCATCATTAAAAGAAAGAATACTTCATGTTGAATCGACGAGCATTAACTTTAAAAGAAAAAATTGCATTAGTCAAAGACAATCAAAATAGTCACGGTTTAATCGGTACGAAAACTGACTGACTAATACCATATATATCAAAAAAGTGGTGTGGCCAACATTCTACATCGGGAAGAAGAATTCTTCACTAATTATGCCTCCAACTCGAACAAAGGAATAAAATAAAAGCATAACGACGAAAGTGGACAAATCATTGATCAACTCGTATTCGAATGATTTGCTGTTCAACGATCCAAACGGATTGTTATTTCAGGACCTATGCTACAAGAGAAAGCGAGGCAATTTGCCCAAAAGTTAGGATATCCATCAGGTATATTCAAAGATTCAAATGGTTCGTTGAAGAAGTTTCATATTCGTCAAGCTATCTCCTTTCGAATAATTTCTGGTGAAAGCACCTCTGTTGATAAAGGATGGTCCAAAAGTTTCGACCCCTCAGTAAATCGATGATATCTGCAATAGATTTCTAGGAAGTTGTTGCTCAAATTATGTCATTTTGTAGAGAAAGATTAGAGCTATATTCTAAAAGAAAACATAGTTCGAAATACATAAATCTATAACAATATTATGATCATTTTACTAATTTTGAGTGAAAATTTTTACGTTAGAATTTTTTCAAAAACAGAATATGCTTGTGACATCCTAAGCGACATATTGTTTTCTAGATATTTTTACATAGTTCCATAGAGTTCGACAAGTTCTACGAGAATATGAATATTCAAAAAAAAGTTCTAATCTTATTTTCAGTATAAAACTTAAAGAAAACCAGAAAGACTAATAAACATTTCATGTATCAAATATTTCTAAGAGTAAATTGAGCTTTCAATAGCTTCAGTTGATTAACTGTTCCATCTGTTCATGTAGCTCGGAAGAGTTATTTTCAGGTTCAGTCGATGACACTGCATCTCAAAACATCAATTAGCAATCGATCAACTCAAGTTATTGAAAGTTAAGTATACTATCTCATGCAATATATGAGAGATTTATATTAATCTGTGTGATTTCTTCCGAGTTTTATATTGAAAACAGGATTCGAATTTTTCTTGATATTCATACTCTTGTAGAACTTGTCGAACTCTGCAAAAATATCTATTAAAAACATGTAGAAAATAATATTTCGCTCGACTTTAACGTCTCAAATATTCGAGATTTTTCTTTGCTTTTGCAAAAAATGTAATGTAATAATTTTCATTCAAGATTAATACATTGCCCATAACAGTGTTATAGATTTATGTATTTCGAACTATGTTTTTTCAGAATATAGCTCTAATCTCTCTACAAAAGGACATAATTTGAGCAATAATTTTATATAAATTTGCTATAGATATCATCGATTTATAGAGAGGGGTCGAAACTTTTGGACCACCCTTTA